TACGACTACACAGGGGTGACTACAATTCTTTTAAATCAGCCGAAAGAAATCGTCGCACATTGAAAAAGAAATGTGCAGATATTGAATTCAATGATGATATGCCTTGGGGTCTCCCTTCCGTCAGACGGATTGGTCCCAGGAAGCCACCGATGCGGTGCCTGAGGGTTAACGAGGCGAGTAACCCCCATGCATGTTCGGGCCTATCTACTCGCTTAAGCGTTCAATGCAGGGACTACACAACGAACCGGGCAATTCGCTGCACAGCCCCCTAACCCAGCATGCAGGCTGTACCCAACTGCCACCTCGAGTCCAACACCAATTGGAGGGGCAGGAATCGAAGCTAAACTCCTGGGGCTCCCTCGCCTCCCGAGTACCGGTACAGGCTCTCCGGTCGCTATTAGCTACTCCGGAGCACCCTTCGTTGGGTGACATCCGTTTTGCCGTATCACCGGACATCCTTCAGTCTCCTGGCTCGCCCGAGCTACTACACTTTTTGCTTCTACTCTGCTTTCGTCACACAAATGCACAGCCCCCCTAAAGGGTCAGACTGCACACCCGATCTACAATGGTTGCCGGCATTCCACTATTCTTCACGTCGTAATGGGTCAGGTTACCATCTACTCTGTGACACCGCCTGATGCGCACCCCTGCCAGAACACTTACTACGCTTTGGACATGGTTAGGGAGTGCTTCTACCCAGAGGACCGCTGACTTTTCGGCGCCTGTAGAGGTTCCCATGCGATTGCCACTACAGTTGTGGGGGTGGTCGCACCGAGAGAGCCTCCATTTTGACTCGGCAGGCTTTTTTGCGGGGGAGAGCGGACCCCGCGTTAGCCTACCTCGTCTGTGCTGGGCTTACATCGCGTTCGAACGCCAGCTGTAGCGTACTTTCCCCTCAGGGCTTCCGAGGCTTCCTCTGGCACACCAGACGGGTGCTTCCGGACCTTCGCCCGTGTCCATCGGCTGCTTCCCACAATCACTTTTGCTTCCAGATGGCCGGGGGTCCTTTAGCTTTGCCATAACATGTGTATACCCCGGAAGAACAGATAAGTAAGCTCATAAGATCATATTACATGATTACGGAGCGTTACTCAAGCGCCCTTATCCTGTTCCTGTTTAGTTTACGACCCGCCGTGGACATGGAGGCCAACAAAATGCTTGAGTTAGGTGTTATTAATCGGGAGGCCACGTCTTACGCTAGCCCGATGACGGTTGTAAAAAAAAAAGAGATTGTACTGTTCCTGTTTGCCTGAATACTCACATTTTAAACTCCAAGATGGTTGATGACCATGTGGCACCTACTTCGCCTGAAGAAATTTTTAGTTTACTCACTCCCAAAAGTATTTTTCCACGATTGATTTGAGGTCGTCTTATTGGCAAATTCCTTTAACCCCTAAAGGCATTCAAAATACCGGTTTCTTCTATAATGGCAAGACATACAGCTACCAGGTGCTCCCGTTTGGTTTAAAAACTGCAGTTGGGTCTTTTACACGAGTTTTAGATTGCATTTTAGGACCAGAATTGCAACATTCAGTGTTTCGCTATATCGATGATCTACTCGTAGTATCAGAATCTTTTGAAGGGCATTTGGAAATTCTTGAGCAGTTATTTACTAGATTACTAAAAGCTAAAATGGCAGTTAATTTATAAAAGACAAAATTTTACCAACCCGAAGTTCCGTTTCTAGGTCATATTCTTACTACCGGAGTGCTACCGGACCCAGATAAGACCAAAGCTATTCGTCAGTTTCCCATTCCCAAAAACGTCAGATAACTTCATGCTTTTCTCGCTCTATGCAATTATTATCGGCGTTTCAGCAAATACACAAAAAGGCCAAGTGGAAGTGGGGTTCTGAACAACAGGAATCTTTTGAAAACTTGAAGCGTTTGTTTTTGGATTTCGTTATTATTCACTTTCCTAATCTCTGTCGCGCGTTTTATCTATTTTGTCCACATATTTTAACTCGACAATTTAAAAGAACTTAAAATATTATTTAAGGAACTAAAAAATCATCAATTATCTTTTAAGCCCCATTTACTCTTTTTGTTTAGGATCTCCCACTGTGCTCAAAAATGAACAAACTCGTTTGTCTTCCAATTTTTCCCTTCATAATGGTGTTCTAATTTTCGGAAATAATCCTTCGGATTGTCCGAATGTGGCTATTCCCCACAATCTTGTAAACATTCTCTCACAAAGTTTCCACCTACAGTAAGGACATTTTGGGACATCAAAATTATTTCTAATTTTAAAGCCAATTTTATTTTCCCCAGAAATGTATAGCTATGGTTTGTACGAGCATGTGACGTTTGTCAGAAAGTAATATTTCCTTTTATGTATTTTGCCGGGTCTCCACAATCTATTTTTCTTGAAAATCCAGGAGACTTGGTGACTGTCGACTTGTAGGGCCCGCTCCCTGACGAGCGTTCCAAATGCTCGTATATTCTCGTGATCAAACTTTATCCCCTTAGACGTGCACAAGCTAAAATTTCCACATTTTTGCAAATTTATCAAAGTCAAAGTTGTGTTATCAGATCACGGTAGTCAATTTACATCTAAAGTTTGGCAAGAACTTTTAAAGAAACACGGTATAATCCCAACATTCTCCTCCACTCGAAATCCCCCTGCTAATCCGACTGAACGGGTTATGAAAGAGTTAGGGCGATTGTTTAGAACCTACTACCAACAATCACATTCTGGTTGGGTGAACAAACTCCAAGATATCGAAATCTTTTTTAACGAGATTACCAATTTGTCCACTGGGTACTCACCTTCGGAAATCCTAAATGGCCATAACCCTCCTAACCCACTGAGTAATTTAATTTCTTCCTACCTGCCCCGAAGTAACCACAAAACCATTCACGAAATAAGAAATAAGTTCGTCAAAGACTGCGTTCCCGTTGTCAGGCACCCCAAACAAAATTAAAAACCAACGAATTATTTATTAATGACCTAGTCCTACTTAGAGAAAAAAAAAATCATAGAAATTTTGTCAGTTATATTCTGGTCCTTATGTCACGTTTACACTATATCCGATCCGATCCGTGAAAAAAGGGGATATTACAATATAAAGAAGCTCAACTATTACTATAGAGCTTTCAATTCAATATTTAGGCAGACTGTTTAGGATGCTGAAAGTTCATTTTGTGGCTTCCATAAACTTTCAATCTGTGTCCTAAATTTTTGGTATTGAACTGTTTGACATTAATTGATTTTATTTGATTTGTATTTTCCCATAAATTCTATTCACAAGAATATTATTATTATTATTGTTTTGCTTTCGTCTAAACAAACTTAAATTGTGTTTTGGTTTTGGTTCGGCTCTATTTACGCTTAATAGACGGGGAAGTCCCAATCAGAATTGATTTTATTTGATTGGTATTTTCCCATAAATCTGGGTAAAACTATTCACCAGAATATTATTATTAGTTTTTTTGGTTTTGCTTTCGTCTAAACAAACTTAAATTGTGTTTTGTTTTTGGTTCAGCTCTATTTACGCTTAATAGTCGGACTACTCCCAATCAGATTGGTAGTTATTAGACATGTAGTTTTAAAGACTTGAGTATTTCTGCCCTTAATGAACCGGCGTATAGGGTCCATTAAACTTTAGCTGGGGATTTACCTGTCCCAAGGAATTTTCAGTACCTAGTTCCTTTAAAATGATCTTCAGTTTTGAAATGAAATCAATGCATGTGAGTCCTGGTGGGGATTTCCCTATTGTACTGACACAGCCGTCTCTAATACAAGCCATGCTGAGAAATTTGGCAACAGCGCATTGCTTCGATGTGAGAGTCCTATCCTGCGAGTCTTACTTGTTATTACTACACGTCGTTACATATGATTTTTAGACACCCATTACGATAAAAATGAATTGAATTATTAAATAACTAACATTTGTTCATCACTGATAGTATGTGACGTTATTTAAAATACACTTCAACATGTAGGTATTAAGAACAAAATAGAAAAGACAAAAGATTAGGTGTAAACATTGTTAGGTACCTACATGAATTTCATCTCGATAATTGTAATTTTATTAAAGCAAATTTCCACACCACAATTGAAGTATTGCCAAGGCGCGTTAGCTTTTTTTGGGGTTCACCAATAGCCCTGCCATCCCATTAGAAAAAACTAATTACAATTTCTAATTTACGGATTTTTGCTGTCTTACAGTTAGCTGAATTTGAATTGGAGTGGCGGGACTCTTGCTTTCTATAATTTATAATTTTAACGTAATCATTAAGCAAAACATTAGCAAAAGAAGATAAAATTTGGAAGAATATATCTTTATAGTGTTTTCCAAAACTAAATATTTTTGAAAATAGTTAATTTTCCTAAAATTGGTTTTTGGAGTTCAGCCCGTAAATATTGTGTCTGCAGATATTCGTTATTACTTATTTCTTCAAGAATGGCATAAAAGTGAAAAAAAACTATACAGGCGGTCCTCGACTTACGTCGTTTCGATTTACGTCGTTTCAAGTTACGTCGAACAATGTTTTGACACTATTCCTCAAGCATACGTCATTTGTTTCGATTTCCGGCATATCGGAGAATTCACTTGTCGCAAGGTCAATGTCCGTGAGGGGCGCGGGCGGGGCGCGGTGTCGTCTCGTGCGGGGAATACCGCGCAAATGTCGCTGATTTTGTTTAGTACATTCAGGGACAACGGACAATCAAGACGTAATAAATTAGTTTTTTTGCATCTTTGACAGTTTTTGTGTTTACATACATATTTAAGTGAATTTTAAACAATACCACCTAAACAAGACAGTAATAATAAAGTGAAGAAGAGAGTAAGAAAGTCAATTACAATGGAGGTTAAATCTAACATTTTAAAACTCAAAGATCGCGGTTATTCGACTTCATCTATTGGACGAGAACTTAATTTATCACGCACGACGGTACAAACAATATTGAAAGATAAAGAAAAACTCTTAACAGCTCTTCCTTCCGTCTCTTCAAACAGCACTATTATACGCAAAAGGAATGCTTTAATTTATGAAATGGAAAAACTGTTGTACAATTGGATTCAAGATCAAACTCAGCGACGGGTTCCTCTAAGTTTGGCTATTATACAAAATAAGGCGCTGAGTATCATCAACACACTGCAAAATAAACGTGGCGAGAATAATAGTGACGAAACAAAATGTTTTTCTGCCAGTCGCGGATGGTTCATGCGCTTTAAAGCGAGATATTCGTTACATAACATTCGAGTGCAAGGAGAAGCTGCTAGTGCCGATCATGTGGCTGCTCAGAGTTTTCCTGGAATATTAAAGGAAATTATCGAAAGTGGAGACTATTCGCCTAAACAAATTTTTAACGTGGACGAAACTGGTTTGTTTTGGAAAAAAATGCCCTCTCGTACTTTTATATCACAGGAAGAAAAGTCTATGCCTGGATTTAAAGCGGCTAAAGATCGTTTGACGTTGTTATTGGGTTCGAATGTTGAAGGTGATCTTAAATTGAAACCCCTTTTAGTTTATAGGTTTGAAAATCCTCGAGCTCTCAAAAATTACGTCAAGAGTACTCTTCCAGTTATATGGAAGGCTAATCCAAAGGCATGGGTTACATCAATACTTTTTGAAGAATGGTTTACTAAGCATTTTATACCTGAAGTGAAACAGTACTGTTCAAAAAATAATTTGGCTTATAAAGCTTTACTTATTTTGGACAATGCTCCCGGCCATCCTGTGCGTATTGCCGATATTGATCCTCAAATCAAAGTCGTGTTCCTGCCTCCCAACACCACTTCGTTGTTACAGCCGATGGATCAAGGAGTTATCGCGTCTTTTAAGGCCTATTATCTCAGGAGAACTTTTTCACAGGCTGTAAAGGCTAATGAAAATGATGGCATGGAGCTGAGAGATTTTTGGAAAAGTTATAATATCTTGCAATGCGTAAAAAATATTGCTACTTCATGGGATGAGGTGACACCCAACAATTTAAAAGGAGTTTGGAAAAAGTTATGCCCATTTTTTTTTGAGCCATCTGAAAGTTCTACATCTACAGATCAACCAAATATCGATGAGATCACAACTGACATTGTTCATTTGGCTAACCGTTTGCCTGACATTGCAGTTACTACTGATGATATTGATGATCTGTTAAGCTCACATTCGCAAGAACTGACTGATGAAGATCTTATTGAATTGGAGGCACAAGTACAAAAGGAAGCACTCGAGTCACAAGAAATAGCTTCTTCTATTAGTGACTCTGAAAAAGAACTTACACTAAAAAAGCTTTCCGTAGCCTTTGCAAATTTGAAGAATGCCATGAAAATTTTTGAAGAAAATGATCCTAATTTTGAGAGAAGTTTTAACGTTAATAACAAAATTTGTGCAGCCTATCACTGTTACCAAGATCTGTATGATAGCAAGAAGAAAGAAGCCAAGCAATCTAGAATTGATAGTTTCTTTAAGCCAAAAGTTTAATTTATTATTTATCATTACATATGTATAAGTTTTATAATTATTATTAAAATTAATAACACAAATACCAAAAATAACTAGCAATTTCATAAGTGCATAATATATAATTATTTTAAGAACTTACTTTTAATAATAAAGTACGTCCTTTGT